TCAGACACAATGGTAGAGTTGCTTTCAAACACAACTTGAAACAGAATTGCGTCTGAATGTGGCTAAAAACAACTTAAAATAGCGTCTAAATGTAGTCAGAACACAAAATTTGCATTCAGACACTATTGTCATCGGGCGTTTAGATGCATCCATGTGCAACAAAGATTTTATCTGGGTTGATTATGAACGCATTTACAATACATTTAATGTTTATGTGTTAAAGTTTAAAGTTTTTTCTGCTTCTTTATATACGAATTCTTACACTAGAGAGTCATATGTGACAGAAGAAACAAAATGCATATAATCGTCTACAAAATACACAATTCTTTAAATTTATTTTTTTCAATTTCCACTATTTTTTTTGAAAAGTAAATTCTATAAAATTTATCTTCACCTCGCTACTTTAAAAAAACAAAAAAGTTAAGATGCTGCATCCATTGAGCATTTATTGAATAAGCAATTAATTATCGAAAAAAAACCGTTTTTCTCGTATTCTATGATCCAAAAACTATAATTATTGTTTTTATAAAGTTAATCATATGCAACCGATGTCATGTATGCAATTTTAAGTAACACTGATAAATTAAAAAAATGAAAATATTTCAAAGTTTATATAATCTAATGAAGCAATTGCTATAAATTGATCTTTTTTCTCTATAAAAAGTCACATGATAATAACAGATAAGACTACGAGTGTTTATAGCTTCATGGTAAGTTCAATGTCTTTCATTCTGTAGGCATCATGATCGAATCTCGTTTGTTGCACTCTATTCAATAACTTAATAATGTGTTAAATTGAAATAAAAATATCACGTAGCGATGAAAATGGATCGATACCATGATATAGAGCACAATTTTTTAAAATTTAACAAATTTCGGATATCCTAAAACGCGTTTCGTCGCGTCTACCAATAAACAACGTTAGGATGCGTTTCAAACTGGTATCGGGTTAGAACACCCGAAAATGTTGCCTTTTGGATGTATCCAGACGCGTGAAATTACATTGCTGACAAGCGCTCGGGGACGCGTCGAAAATTAAAAAATGGATACATGGGATATCCTTCAAGATTCTTTCTAGCATAAACGATTGCTCTAAAACTGACATAATTCATTTGCAAGAATCTTTTGAGCTTATTTATTTCTTTCTTGTCATGCAGAAATTCATTATGCCTAATGTTCATGTTACATGTACTCGTATTACTTGAATTTAAAAATGAAAACTAAGCAATATCGCACTGAATTAGTGTCTTGGAACCACTTCAGTAGTTCGCATTGAAGGTTACGCTTTTTGATTTATAAATTCAACTAGTACATGCTCATAAATAAAGCAGAAGATAAATAATGAGTTTGAAGGAAACCTTGAACGTTTAGCATCTGCTCTTTTTGTTTCACTTTTTTCTGTAACATAAAGACGCATTTGACAATTTTTGTTCAGATATATTCTAAATAAGAAAGGTTTGTTTTCTTCGAGCTCTTAAATGATCATGCAATAATATATCGAACCAATTACAAAATGAGAAAAACCTACACAAAAAAAAAACAAACAAACAATGAAGCGTTCTGCGCGTGATGGTAACAGATTGCTTCTTTTGTTTTACAAGAAAGCATCATGGGGAAAACAATTGTACCATCCAATAATCTCGAGATGTGTTTTCATTCAATAAAAAGCACTATCTCTTGATTATCTTAAGCATGAATAACTCAATAAAATTTTCTACACCCGTGTTGTAGACTTCCATATTTCTGCTCATGGGTAACGTATGATGCAGTCAAGATAGAACCTACAGAAAAAAAGATGTCCTTTATCATCAGCGAATCGGTAGCTGATAATTTCGAAAATATCAGTAGACTATACTGAATTGGAATCATTAGATGAATGGTAAAATATATCTCTGAATTCAGAATTTTGGTGATGCTGAAATTGACGAAACAGATTCGCAAAATCATAAAAAAGTGTCATGACGATATCAGTAAGAAAAAGCAATGTCTACTCGATATGATTCATAACATCGATGGATCGTGGATAAAGAAGAAAACACAAAAAGATTACTGCATGAACGAAATTCTGTGGAATTCTGATATATAAAGGATGTTTCACAATAACTGAGGATAAATTGTTAATGACATTTTTCATACTTTTTGTCGATATAGAGAGTTGAAATTTTCATCACACACATATCGAACTAAGATCTTTAATTTCCTAAACTTTCAGCTCTGTATCTAAAACTAGTGCTGAAATTCATAGACAACATTGAAATACATGAATTTTCGCACTTGATTTTGGTAATATCTTTATCTCTTACTCAATCGCAACATAGTGGTCAAGAATTATTTTAACTATATAGGAACGCATATATATATTTAGAAGTCTTCAAATTTAATGATCAATTTTATTTTAAATATTCATCAATTACGAAGAAGAAAAAGATTTTAGGTGTTTTATATTGAATTTAAAACGGCTCAATACAACATGGATTGTTGGCCGCATTGTTCGCTTCATTCAAAGTTGTGATAATTCAGCACAATTAAAATATAAATCACTTCAGAACTGTGTATCACGAATATTAAAAAGAGGAATCATTAATGGTAAAAAACGATCTGGTTATCCTGTTTCTTAAGAGGATAAATTTCCAGAAGGTTGTAGTCTACAGAGACACTCACATCCTCACCCATATCCTTTCATATCCACGATTATACCCGCATCCACACTATGGGTTAGGAGTGACGATAAAGACATCGCCACACTCCATATTTATATCCTGAAGATTTACACCCAAAACAGGGTCAAAGCCGCATTTTTCGGCTAATGATCCCTATTGAACTTAGTATTCTTCGATAGCGGATAGAACTTTTCATCTATCACAACCAATTACAAAGCTACTGCAAGTCAAAAAGTAAATATTGGGTTATATAAATACGAAAAAAATCAAGTATACAGTCACGTTTAAGGGTATTCCCTCTTTTTGATTATTTATGATTCCTGCAAACAGTAAGACCAATCATGCTGAAATTTTAACCACAGATAGAACACCAAAATTAAGGAGACACATGCCCAAGGAAAAAGTTTCAAGTGGATCTTCGTAGTTATTTTTTTCTGTCAAACCATGGTTCTCATAAAACAGTATCCTAATACATTATATCCTATCTAATGTTATCTGATTGAGCTAAAAAAAATTACTTTGGAGGTACACAAGCCTATGTCTCAAAGATAGTTTTAAAATGTTTCAAAGCTCTCAACTTCTATTTCTTTTATGAGTGAAATAGGTAAATGTTCGATACCAAAACGAGATATTTGACGTATACGATCCTACAAACTAGGATAGGAAAGTCAAAAACGAGAACGACTGAGTCAACCTCTAGAGAATACTTCCAAGTATTAGTGGTACAAATCTCAGTTCGATTCAACAAAATTAGATGTCGGTTACTATGTATCAGGATTCGATCACAGGAAAAACCAGGATTTTACAGGAAATTTGCAAAAATTCATTTCAAAAATTGTTTCTCGAACACGTCTATCAAAAAAAAGGGAGTTGCTCTGAAATATGATCGGCGATAAACTATTGTCAGAGCATATCATCTTTTCTTTCTTTATTATTATAATTTAAACGAGTAATATTTTGTATTATATTGTTTCATTACAGTTTATTAGAAATGAAATGATGATGATGATGACTAGATGCCTTGGTTACCATCAGTCTTTCATTTTAAAGACAATTAATATTTTATATAGATATTTTAGTTCGATTTTTATCACTATGTTATCATTCATTTTGTTTTCTCTTGTTACTTTCATGAAAATATTCAATACTATGCAGTTAGATCATTCACTAATCAATTCATGTTTTAATTTCGAAACCACATACAGTAGACAATCGAATGTCTGTAACGCAGTACATCAATTAATAATTGACGATGACAACGAATTTACGACACTATGCGTCAATTGCACTATTAAATATATTGATGTGAAATTAAAAGCTAATTGTTCAAAGAACTTCAAATGTTTATCTCTTTTCTTTGATGATAATTCAATTTTTGAAAGATTTATTAGGCAGAATATTTATGTAATCAAAGATCTATTTTCAGTTGAACAATATAAATCAGATTATCATGTCCTTTCTATATATGTAATCAATTATAATATCACAAAGATCACATCGGAATACATACATTCAAACTTTCATCAATATCTCCCTGATCTAACTATTTTTTTAGAATTTATTAATCATCCACCAAATCAACCACCACTAACGATTGATGATAATATGGACATTATAAATGTTCATAGACTTATAATAACGATTCATTGCGATTCTACCACAGAAAGAACAACTGATAGTGTACACACGTACCCATATTCCAAGAAAGTACTAAAAGGAAACAAATGTCAAGATTCTAAATCTCAACCATGGGTAAGTAATGAATTTCGAAAAGACATACACATTTGAATAGATACATAATATTAATCTAATTAACATTGTCAGGAATAATATCGAAGTTTTATATGTGCATTTTTGTTTCTCTAGATAGAAACTATTACAAGTAGTATACTCACAACAACAACATCCATATCAACAACAAAAACATTCACAACAAGAAAAACGAGGATAAAGACAAAAATAAGAACAACATCCACAACAAGAAAAATAAAGATAAAGACAAAAACAAGAACAACATCCATATCAACAACAACAACAACAACATCCATATCAACAACAACAACAACAACATCCATATCAACAACAACAACAACATCCATATCAACAACAACAACAACATACATATCAACAACAACAACAACAACAACATCCGCAGCAAGAAAAACAAGGATAAAGACAAAAATAAGGACAACATCCATATCAAAAGTAACAACGTCCACAACAAGAAAAACAAAGATAAAAACAAAAATAAGGACAACATTCAGATCAACAACAACGACCGCAACACCGACATCGACAAGTACAAGAACAACAACAACATCATCGAGAGCATCTATAACCATGCAAGCAACATTAATACCTAAGGCAACATCATACACAACAGAAATACCAGCATCAATAATATCTACACCATTTATAATGGCAACAATGACTATAGCCTCGTCATCTATTTCCACGACAATTTATCCAACATCAACATCACGATCACAAATGTCTATAACAACATCTGAACTTACAATGATTACAACTCCATTTTTTCAAACCACATCATTTGTATTATCAACAACAACAACAACAACTGTAACATTATTAGAAACTACTAGTATCACAACAGAAAAATCATTTACAACATTCAACATATCATCTGTAATTACACCCAAATCATTCATATCTATATTCAAAATTCCCATGACTCAGTCAATTCTATCAAAAACTGGTACAACTACATCTTACAATATAATACCAACAACAATATTACAAACACCTACGAAAAATATTCAACAAACATTCTATAGTATAACAACTGCTCCCTCACTTCTGATGACAGTCACCGAATTGATGAGAATTAAAGAGAAGACATTTTCAAAAACGCATGTAGAAACAAAACTATTCACGATGATGTCAAATTCAACACTTTCACTAGTTACAACTCAAAAATCGTTAGTTTCTTCGTTTACATCAAGTAAAAGATCAGAAGAATCTCATAATATTCTTCTATATATTTTATACAGTTTACTATTTGTGATTATATCTATTGCAATCATTTCTTTTATTGATTGTTATCATTATTATCGTCGCAAACAACAACAGTTATTTAATGAATATTCAATTACTATTTTAAGTGCACCAACATCTACAAATACATATAGCAGTACTAATAATGATAGAATCCAATCGAAAAATTTATCAAATACATCGAACACATTTTTATCATTATTATTAATGCAATCTAATGAAACTCAATCATTGAAAAAGGTGAACAAAGGTGTTGAACATATAGTTAATGATAATTGATTTTAATAATTTTTTGTTATGGAAAAAGGTTTTACAAAATACGAAATACACACCAACATCAAGTCTTTTGTTATTCCCTATGAAAATCCTTATCTGTGACATTAAAAATACTCGTATAAATAATTCGATCATCATTATGAATGGGTATGGGTGTAAGTTTGAGTGCCGATATGTATAATAAAACCAAAAACAGTTGCTTCTAACTTGATATTAATTTCTTTTTGTTTGAAAGAGTAAAGTCGGAACCCTCAAAAATTCGTCAATGTGCAAATTCAACTTAATAAGTCTTGTCTGACAACACTCACTTTTCTCAATTTTTTTTTTGTTGTGGACGATACAGACATTTTTTTCAAAACCGAATTACGCGTGATACAGAGCTGGATGATATATTAATCCAAATAGAGATTATCAGTAGTACATTTTTATATTGTTTAGTTTTTGAAACAGTGTTTATGAAAGATCAGTTATAAAACAATTAACTTTCACCTATTTTTGCAACAGCTTACTTGAGAGTATTTTGTTTTCGGGTTCTTTTCACTTGCATGAATGTACTGAGAAACTTTTAATCCATACGGTTTGTATTTTTATTTCAGACTTTTCCCTTTTCAAAGCAATAAAGAAATAAGATTTTTAACTTTTAGAATGAAGAAGATATTGACTTCACCATTTATCTAAGAACTTGTGCAATATTCATTAGTAATGTTTCTATTTAAGTCCGATTGGCTTTAATCCTTTGTTTGGATGTGCATGTAAACTCAAACTCGAACACTCATATCCATATTCTCATTAGTTTTCTATTAGATTATTCAAAAGAAAATAAGATTAAATGATTGTGAAGAATAAAAATGTTTTTGAACTATCTCCAAGATATTCCTATTAGAAAACAGTCTTTCGATATATTCTGTTTCACTTAAAAAGTCATAATAGACACAATATTTTTCAAGTGTTTTTCGATGAAAACATTAGGCAATTTGCTTGATTACGAAGAGAATTTATTCATAAGTTCAGAATTCTTTTATAAAGAACTGTCTAATTCTAAAAAAATCAGCATTATGCCCTCTAACAGTAATTTTTTCATGTTTAATATTTTGAGTTCACATAAATCGCGTTAAAAATTCTTGTCTTATTGATTGAAAGTTTTGTTTTTTGTTTTAGGTGAAATTTATAATTCACAATTGATTATTAAAAATTTTAACTCATTCTGAAAGTTTTTTAATAACAAAATATGTTTGACCAGTTCTTTTTGTATCTATTTTTAACAATTGATAAAGGCTAATGAGAGAATTTTCCAAGATTCTCCATTCTTTGATTATTGATAACTTTGTTGTCTGTAGATACTAAATAGTGTGTTCTAGTAGAAACTTTTAATGAATTTGAGTTTCTATTGAGATTTGACGAACTTATCGAATTACAAATATGTCTATTTCATCTTAAAACTGTCTCCATCTAGACGGTACACATACGTTATCTTAAATGAAGAGTTTCAGAATTTTTAGACTTCATGTCGTCTTCGAGATACGAGCTTTTCAAAATATTTTTCTATGGTATAATATCCTTGGAAAAGCAGCTATTTCAAAAAAAAATCATAGATTGAAGATACAAAGTCTACAAATTCCGAAGTTATTTTTTGTTCAGAGTAAAATATTTGAGTTGTTTAAGTGGAGGGAGTTTCAGAACAATATCCGAAAAGACAATTGTTCCTAAAACTTGAGATCGTACGGAGGTCTCTGGATAATAGAAATTAAAAATTCAATAGTTTCTGCAAATCCCAATAATGAAAAAAACATCCTTTTAGAATGTTTACATCTTTCTTCGAGTTCAATTTCTAATATAATTCAATATTGTGGTTTGACGCTTCGTTATATATATATACGTATTTTCTTGTAAATATCTCATTCAACAGATATTCAATATTGAATGATTTATCATTCATTTTTTTAAATGGTCGATAAATTTCGAACCTTGATCAAAGTCAAATATTGAATTATTAATAAAATTAAATGAAAATTAGTTTTAAAAGATAAGATGAATGCATTATCATTAACTTTTTTATCTTTGTTGAAATCATTTTTTAATAAAACAAATTTCGAGATCATCATTTTTATTGATATCGCATCTATTTTATTCACTATTCAATTATTAATTATTTTGTGAAACTCACATATATTTTCGAAGAAAATAGTAAGCATAAGTTTTATATCAAAATTTTGCAGCTTTCCATCTCCTCTGCATGACAGACCTTAGTAGCCGCGGAAAATAAACGTCATACTCCGAGTTTTGAGCTCAGTGGCAATGAAAAATAATGCTGTACGATATGAACGACAAGGTTTCAACTGTCCTAGAGCATTTCAAAGCCTTCCTTGAAATTCGAAGTGTGAGTGTGTGTGCGTTGGAGAAAAGGAGATCGATATCTACACTCACATCTCATCAATGCATGTGTACCAATTAAATGAATCAATGATGATTTTCATATTATTTCGTTCTATGATTTGAGTAAGAAATTATGATTCAATTAATTTGCATCTTTTTACATTAAAATGTTGATCGAACAAGACATAGTAAATATCAAAATGTTTCATTTTTGTTAAATATAGAATGGCAATGCATTGATATTGATGACAGCTGTTGCATGAATCGATAATAAAGAAAATGCGATAGTCGTCGTTTTCAAACACATAATCAATTATATTTTATTCAAAGATTCTTTTCAATATGTCGCCTGAAAAAGATCAGATATTATCTGCCAATGAAAATGAAAAACTCGATCAATCATTATCTGATAATAATCATAATATAGTCTGTATTAAGAAAAATCTTTTTACAAAATTGGTAAGTTCTATAGAATTTTCTATAGAAATACTTCATAAAAATCAATATTTATATAGTGTATATGTATTTTTATTCTTGTTCTTGGATCTTACTTAGTATTAGTTGAGAATAAAACGGATAATTCAGGTGGACTTGTATCATTGATACCAGTGATTGCTGTAGTTATCTATTATTTATTTGGTCTTGTTGTTGCATATAAACAACATCGATTCGGATTACTTATCGTATGTTATTCTATGTTTGTTAAGGTTTCTTTTCTTTTTTTTTCTTTTTCAATATCAGTTTGCATCGATTGGAGTAATCTTATTCATAGGATTACGCATTTTCATTGATTATATCATCTTAACTATTATAGTATTAAGTGCTGCTTTGGGTATTATTAATCATGATCATGGAAACATCGTAGTTTTTGTAATTCTCATTGTAGTAGTATTATTTATCATGGTGAGATAATTAACTTATCTGTATATTTAACTGTAGTGCGTTACTTTTTCAGATTGTATCTCTGAAGTTCTATTTGAATTTGACAAAATTGATCAAAACAAATCAATATCCAATCGTCTAAAACTTTGAAGATCATCTATTTTCTTCTGAAATAAACTTTGAAACTATATGCCATTAATAACGCTTAGTTTCTATGCTTTATATTTGATTAAAATAAACGTTTATTACTGGTTTTTTTTTGATTTATCATGTGTCATTTACACAATAATCAGTTCTTCATTTATGAAATATCCAGTTATTGTTTTTTATGAATAGCATCATACAAAATCTTTCTACATTTAGAAAGTTTCATGGAAAAGGCTGCTTCATATAGGACTTAATTCTTTTTCCTTACGAGAAGAAGAAGTGAGTATTCATCAAAGTACTTGATTAATTATTAAGGACATCTGCAAACAATTCTCTGTATCACATATAGAAGAAAATGTATAGCATGAAATATCAACTTAGGTAGTAACGATTTACGGTTGCTGTCATAGGAATGAAGATAAAATCAAAGATTTCAAAAACTTTGATGAATCATAATAGAGAACCTGAGATCTTCTAATATGACAAGAAGGAAGTTTTGTTTGTATTGATTATATATGAGAACCTTACTAAGAATGGTTATTATTCATTCCCATTGAATCTAATCAGGTATGTAGATATTCTCGTCTATTGTTTTGGGATGTGGGCATTGGTGTTTGTCTTATTTCGTTTGCACTCATACGTTCAACCGAAAAAATGAGATGAAGAGAAAATCTTTTAATTCGTTCGATTCTAACTAGAAGACATGATTTATTTTTGATTTTAAGACAAATTTTATTGATGAAAGATGTTGAATCGTATTCAATTTTGAAATCTGGTGAATTGTTGAGAATGTCTTTTAACTATTTGAGTTTTTCATTGAAAATGTGAATGTCTGATTCAGGAAAATAATTGTCTTTACGACATTGAATAAGCCCTGTTTTGTCAATTATTTCAATTCAAAAATCAAAATTAGTAATAAATATTGTGACCATTGACGAGAGTTCATGTTGACCTTCATTGATCACTTGTTAAATCTTTTCAATTTATTCACGTTCTCATTCATTGATTTGTTTCATTAATTCATTGTTTTTTTGTGATTTAGTTTTTTTTTTCGTCAATTTCAATTCTGAACTCATTAAATCTATCTTCAATTTTATCTAATGGTTCACTTAATTCATTATGATATTTATTGATACGATCAAAGCAAAAATCTTGGAAACATCCACCACATTTAACAATGTTTTTGGATTTTGTAAATAATGTTTAGTGTTCTATAAACATCAGTGAAAAATTGTAAAGATTTCTTTCGTAAACATTCTAAAACTCTAAATAGAATTTTTTTTTATTCGATCTATTTACGTGAAATGACAAATCAGCGAGAATGTGAACGCAAGGGATTCCACAATAAAAACAAAAGTCTGTAAGTTAAAAAAATGAAAGATAAAATGACGATAATATTAGAGAAGTCAGATCGTTAATAAGTTTGTTAAAGTTGTTGAGAGATGACAAACAGACATCTATTCCATAAATGGCATATAATCTGAATGGTAACGGTACAGTCTGCATATGGATGTGCTGATGTAAGAGAGACTCTTTTTTTGCATTTACACCGTCATTATTGCAAAAGAATCTTTCACTTTTCATGAACGAGTGCAAAAACTGTTATCCTATGTTTATAAACGATTACATTCAAAATATATCGCTTCTTTATTTCAATACAAAAGAAGCAGCAGAAATATTAAATCGGTTGTCTTCTTTGAGGAATTCGACTTGAACTGCGTACAAAACTTTATAATCATTGCAGATGATCAATTTTTTGAGTGTATGTTTTTAATAAGGAGGGTCAAAATGGAAGAGACGAGAAAAAAATTCGAATTATCATGTTATTTCCTAAAACATCAGAAAGATATGGTGTACCTTCATTTTTGATTAGACAATTCCATAGTTCCAGCATTGTTAGAGTCTGTTTGCAGATTAGAAGATAAAAAGAAACGATGAAAATCATCGTATCTTTTGTCAAGACTTGACCAAGATGTCGCACTCTAGTCAGCTCGATTTCATTACGCCTAAGATTCAGTCCAATGAGTGTCTCGATGTACAAGGAAAAACGAACATCAGAAATATGAACAGAAAATGACAATTATTGTGCTATATTTCAAAGCATAGTCATGATACTGCATCCTTGTATCTTCAATTTGATTTCCTTGAATGTTCAATGATTTGAATGTCTGTATGTGGAAACGAAGATGAATATTACATAGATGAAGAGACAGTGATAATCACTGTATTATTTTCCAAGACATCAGCCAGATACTGTGCCCTTAAAGGCTCGATTAAATTTCAAGAAATGTTCTGTGTAGTGAGTATCTAAGTGAATAGGAGTAAATACTAACGAGAAATATAAAGAAAATGTTAGTCACAGTGTTATTTTTCAAGGTTCCAGCGAGATATTACGTCTCATTTGCATAGATTTGACTATTCACTAGTTCCAATCTTATGAGTGTTTGTGCATAGTACAGCATATGAATACATGAGATTATAAGAGAGAATAATAATCACAGTGTTCTTTCTCAAAATGTCAGCGAGATGTTCTGTCCCTATATAACCGATGCGATCGCTTCTCTCATCATCCAAGATCAGCGTTGTCAGTGTCTACATGTAAAAGAGAGAACTAAAATGAGATAAAAAATAAGACAATGAGAATTATTTTGTTATATATTAAGGCATCAGCAAGATATTTTACTCCTTTTGATTGTATGGCATCATTTCTATGCTCAGCGAGGTGAGTGTCTATGTGTGTAGAAGACATCTTTAATGATAGTGACTAAGACAATAGATATTACAGTTGTTTTTCAAGGTATCAGCGACATGCTTCGCTCGGTATTCTCCAAGTCCATCGTTCCAGAGTATCAGTGAGGTGAATGTCTTTTTGTCAAATAAAAAGTAAAATGGAAGAGGTGACAAAAGAATTGATATCATTATGGCTTCTCGATACATCTCAATGTTGTTGTGATCTAAATAAAATATTCAATGTGAAAAACTTTTAGGCATATTTACTGATATTTTCTTTTTTTGAATAAAAAAATTTCATAGCTTAGTTATTTACTTTCGAAATAGTGCTAATCAAGTTTTTTTTTGTGTACTAGAAATGTACATGAAAAATAAAGTTGTCATCAATGTTTGTCAACTTAGTAACGTTTTCATTTTAGGTCTGAGTTTTTCTTTTTAACTTTTTAGGACATACATGTGTAACCACATTATTCCAAGTTGAAATCTAGAAAATGTGGTTCTGTATTTTGTTGTTAATTTCTGTTTAACTCCAGTAATATTTGTAAATTCATTTTTCTGCGAAGTTTTCGAGTTTATATGATTCTTATCGGTAATATCAATATTTCTAATCGAACGATCAATGTCTTCATCCATTTTCAATGCTGATAATTGATTGCAGTAGATCATAACATCAAAATACTTAGAAAATTCGAAGATCTGAGGGTTGTAACGTTATTATATAATCATCAATGAAAGAGGAAATCTTCAGTTTTGTATATACAGAGGTTGTTCATGTCTATCTCTTATTGACTATTGATTTGCTTATAGCACATAATAAACGGCATCACTAAATCAATTTCTATATCAGATTTGTTGACCTCAGGATAGATTCGCTTGAGATTTCAATCAACTCCTCGTCTGTTCGGTTTGATCATAATCTACGAAATTTTAGCGTTTTTCAACAAATTTTTAATTCAAAATATCTTTTTTATATGAATGAAGAAACGAAGCGTTTAGCTTTTCCCATTGAAATACCGAGGTCATCATCATCATCTGTATCGATAGAGATGTGTTATGGGTTGACTCATTATTTCGTACTACTACTTCTTTCTTCTATAATTGATGGGAGTTTTCCGATATTATTTTCTAAAGATTAGACTTGACTACTACAGAGGCTATGAGAGTAGGTATGGGTGTTAGTGTGGTTTTGAGTGGAAAGAAGACATACACCCACACCCAAACTTTAAAAGCTTCACCTTTTCGTGACCGCTCTTCCCCTAATCGTGTGTCGTCCTTTCCAAATTACTCCTAACTGATTCTCACATGTCAAAAGAAAATTACCATCAGACCATCAGTCAATGGAAATCTTTACTGCGAAAAAAGCCAATAGCATAAGCGCCGCTTTAGAGAACATATGGGAATGGGTGTGGATGTGGATGCGGGTGTGGGTCTGGGTTTGGGTGTATATGTTCTTTCCACTCTAAACCACACCCACATCCTCTACCGCAACTCTCTTGGTTAGGATATGCGAAATACTGAAAAGCATTAAAATCTGGTTTTGAATAGTGAGTACAGTAACGCAGGCCTCCATTACAGACACTCTCCCCATCACAGACGCCTCCACCTACGTTACAGACACTCCCATTACAGACTTTAACAATTGAGAATAATAGGTGTCGAACTTTCTAGTTTTTTTAAAGAAGTGGTTAAGGTATAATTTTGAAAAATAATGAATATTATTGTTTGTGAGTTGATTAATGCATAATAGTGCGTAAGATCTGTTGTAGATGTGATGGATATGTAAAAACAGACTTATTTGCTAGTGAATTCAATAATTATAATCATAACAATATTAAATTAAGAAAAACGGATTTAAAAAAATTAAAATTAATGAGTGAATAGCAACAATGCCAAAAAAAAAATAGAGTACCCATAGAAAAAATGAGAAATTTTCTGTTCGAAATGCAGAAATTAGAGAGATTCTTACTCTGATGATCAATTATCCTGCAAAACAACTATAGTCTACAAGAGATTTCTCATTTTACGTATTTTGTATTAGTTTAACGAGGCTCGAGAGCATATGTGAGTTCCATGTTTTAGCCTCATAGAAGCTGCGCTAACAAGCTTTTTACTCAGGTTATAATTTAGTTTGTTCAATGATAAAAAATCGACAATTGAATGAATTTATATTGTGTGGATAGTATGACTTTTGATGAATTACAAAATAAATTTGAGTGATATATTTTGTATCATATCTTTATCACAAAAGATAATTATCACCTTGTG